AACCTTGGTTTAGTTGGCGATGCGAGCGTAAAATGGCAGAGCTTGTGCGCTTGGGCGGATACAGCTTGGTTAAGGCCCGAAACTTGGGCTTGCACCGATTGGAATGGAAGCTGTAGACGATTAAAAAGTCGCTCGGAAATAAATGTGGCCTCTGATCCGGAATCGATCAGGGCTCGCGCTGTATAATTTGTACCCAAATGACCAATGTCAACTAAGGCGGTGCCCAGCAGGACATTTTGGGAACTGGCAACAAAATAAGTATGAACCCTTGCTTCGCTATCGGATGTGGACTGTATTTGTGGCGTGGAGGACTGAGCAGCCGGAGGAACACTGGATGCCACAACAGACGAAGGGGAGGCACGATGAAGTAGAGTGTGATGCCGTCCCTTACACGTAAAACAGGTGTGCGCACTACTACACTCTCGTAGTTGATGTCCTCTCGCAAAACAATTTAGACACAGTTTGTTCTGCTTGATGCAGGCAATCCGGTCTGTGATGGACATTGCCAGAAAACGAGGGCACATTCGGATGGCATGGTTCTCCTTGGAACATATGTTGCATGCCTGTGGCTTGGCCTTGGTGGATGGAGGTGGTTTCACGCTAATCTTTGCCTCGAATGAATTGAGTTTCTTAGGCGGCCCGTCCCTTCTCTGAGGCTTGGAATGGCTTTGGTCCTGAAAACTAGACGCCGACCTCTCGTCGTCCATTGCCTCAAGGGTACGGTAGCGTTCAACCAAAAACGTGTTGAGATCCGCCCATTTTGGAATTTCCGTTTTACTTTTTAAGGATTGCTCCCACAGGCCTCGGGTGACCTTGGGAAGCTTGCGCTCGCAGAAAAAACACAAAATAGGGTCCCAGTTTTCGGTTTTTACCTTGGAATGTTCCAGAGCAGTAGGACACCCTTGAATGGTGCTTTGAAGGGCTTTGACAGCTGCTCCAGACTCTTGGCCGATTGTGGAAAGGCCGAACAAAAGGTTGAGCTGGCTATTAACCAACAATCTTTTATTCTCAAAATGCTCTTTTAAATTCTCCCAAGCGGACTCAAAGCCGTCATGTGTGAGCGGGGACTTAGCAACAATGGATTTTGCTTCTCCAGCAGTTTTGGCATTGAGATGGAAGAGTTTCTCAATGGGAGTGAGCCTCGGATTACTAATAAAAACCGCAGTGAACAAATCACGGAAAGTAGGCCACCGTAAAGGATCGCCACTGAAAACTTCAATGTCGACCGGAGGGAGTGAGCAGCCTCTGTTGCTGGTCGCAAGATGAGGTGACAGCAAGGGCTGGCTAGGTGGCTTACTGGCGGCAGAAAGGCTGTCAATGCTCTCGCTGAGCTTGGCGGTACACCTTTCATATATCAGATAGCAGTGCTCGTACTTCTTCAGGACTACTGCAAGATCATGCCTGCTCTCTTCAGTGGCCAACGCACTTAGTGATCTTGTGCATTGATCACACTCCTGTTCTACTTGTGCCCATAACGACTTGACTTGGTCTCGGCGAGTATTGAGGATATACAGGGATGACTCGCATATTGAGGCGGCGGACATCGTAGCCTCGAAAGCGCTTAATCTGTCGCTCACGAGGAGGAAGGTGTTGAGCGACATTTGGCTGGTCGATCTAGACTCCTGAGACACGGACCTTGTCCTTTTTTTCTCAGTAGGAGCAGTCTTGGCTTCGGAAACAGAAGCCTTGGAATTCGCGCTTGATGCGAGCGGCTGAGTGGGACTGGCCCTTGATGTTGAGGCGGATGGAACGCTTAAAGTAGCTAGCGCTGGCGTGGAAGGTGTATCGGCTATGTTCTTTTGCTCTGAAGCCTTAGCCTGATCCCCTGCTGGCATAGTAAACGTTGAAAAACGGACTTGGACTGACTATGTTGGGCGGCGCTACGAACGGAAAGCCTCGGATTGCTTTCGTAAATTTTTTTTAAAAAATAAAAAAAAAATATTTATACGGCTCCAATATTTCGGATTGCGAAAGGACAAAAAAAAATATGTAAATATTTTGCGCGGGCAAAAAAAACGAGGAAAATATATTTCAATCAACGCCGCGGTTGGTATTGGACCCAAAATAAACGCTTGTACAAATTATGGATAATTTGCACACGACCAATTAATTTGGAGGAAAAATTAAATTTAATAAAATATAAATTTTGCCCAAGTGCCGAAGAAATCCAACGATGATGTCCAAATATATGTATATGTGGGCCACAGAACGCAATTAGATGAGGAATTCACAAAAACGAAAAAATATTTTTTTCAAAAAAATTGCAAGGGCAGGAGCATACATAAAAATCGCAACACCCGGTCCGTATAGGGTATGCGCATGCATAAACGCTGCGGAGAGGAACAGCTGGCGGTCAGTCTACACGCTTATTGTTTCAGCTGCGCTCAAACTGACGCTGCCAATGCACTGCTGCAGCGAGACGTTTTTGTGTGGGTATGTGTGTGGGTGTGAGCGCCAGAGAGCGCTAATAACGGCCGAAGAGCGAAGGCGTGGTGAAAATATTGATGAGCCGAGGAGCCGGCTTATCTTAAGCGCTGGAAAGTTTAGCAAACAAGACAAACGACAAAAGCCCAAAAAATATGTATGTACATATATGTATGTATGTATGTTGCTGATGTGAATAATAATGTTGCTAAAGATTTGGGAAAAAACTTATATGCAATATAATAATGCGGAGGTAAATAAATAAGTTGGTTTATTTGGCGGAAATTGTACAAGTGCAGTGCGCGGGTTGGATAAATGAAAGAGAGAAATATAAATAATAATGGGCGCTCCGTGTGTAGTGTCTTAACTTAAGCGTGTATAGGCCAATTATGTGTGGAATTGAATATTAATAAATGCCTATGTGAATTGTGCACTTATTAACACTCATATGTTGGCACAGTTGGGTTTGAGGCACAACACAATATGTTCGCTTATACACGTTTGACACTTAAGACCTTTGGACCTTACAACACGGCCGAGTTTGAATTGGAAATTCGAAGTTCGCAGGAGTCTCTCTCTCAAAGGCGGGAAAAACAGTATGGCGACTTATATATCTATATGTACATATGTATACTTGATGTAAGATATGTACATAAGCTACATATAAGCCGCTACAATTTTTCCTTTCTTTTGATTGCACTGGCACTTGCACTTGTAAATTGCTTTTTTTTCGGAACGCACTTGGACAGTGCGGTTTAGCAATAGTAAATGGATAATTTACAGATGGTACTTAACACTTGAATCCACCGATGCTAGCTGGGAGGACTTCAAAGCAGCACAAGACGAGGATGAAGGTTGGAGGTGCAGCAGACAATATCCGGCTCGAAGGACCAATGAAAATGTAGTGGGGTGGACGCTGTGTAGTACCAAATGCAGAGGACGAGTTGATGTGGTGATGGTGTCGTTTATTGTTTCAATTAAAACTTCACAGATTAACTTAAATCGATTTGGGGGCGCGCATGCGCTGACTTCACACTTGCGATACAATGCGAATACTAAAAACTAAGCCTAATCTAAACTTATTCTAAGCCTCTGCTAGGCGGTCGCCGGTGTGGTGAATTCAAAGTCGGCAGCCGACGACCGACGGACAGTACGCACTCCTCTTACGCGAACAATTTCTATTTGCAAAACTTTTCTCACAGTAAGATATTCTAAGGAGACCTAGTTAAGGAGATCTTTTAAAGAGAGATTAAAAAGTGGCCATCTGGGAAATATTGTGTTCCATACATAATTTCTTTTTGCAAAAATATTCTAATAGTAGGATATTCTAATGAGACCTAGTTAAGGAGACAGTCCGTAAAGACATGTCCGATTATCTGTCCGTTTATCTGTTGATCTTTTAAGCTATAAAAGCTAGAGAGCGATTAAAAAGTGGCCATCTGGGAAATATTGTGTTCCATACATAATTTCTTTTTGCAAAAATATTCTAATAGTAGGATATTCTAAGGAGACCTAGTTAAGGAGACAGTCCGTAAAGACATGTCCGATTATCTGTCCGTTTATCTGTTGATCTTTTAAGCTATAAAAGCTAGAGAGAGTAAAAAAAGTGGCCATCTGGGAAATATTGTGTTCCATACATAATTTTTATTTGCAAAAATATACAGTAGGATATTCTAAGGAGACCTAGTTAAGGAGACAGTCCGTTAAGACATGTCCGTTTATTTGTTCGCCATCTGTAAGTCTTGATCTTTTAAGTTATAAAAGCTAGCGACTCTTAACTTGTCGAGTAAGCTTGTTTTATCCATATGTAGACGAAATTTATACAAACGAACTAAGTTAAATAGTATAGCTAAGTCTCCTTAAACAAATTCTCTTATCTCAGGAATTTTAACAATCTGTACACTTTTCCTCTTACAGTCAAAGTACCTTATATTCGTAGAGAAATATGAAGTGCGGAAAACATCAAATGATGTACGAATTCTTAATTATCTTAAGTCAATTTGAACACCATTCTATCTGTTTATCAGTCGGCCTCTTTAAATGACCAAATTGTACAAAATATTTTTGTTTATTTTTGTAAAAATAATTTGGGGGACTGGCTAAAGCCCTCGATTGTCATTCGGAAATTCGGTTAAAGCGACATGGCATTCAAACTGTTTATCACAATATATTTATCTTTAATACTTTTCTTCAGTAGAAAAGCATTGCTAGACTTACGTCATTAAGCTTATATCTACAGTGCATATATAGTAAAATGATTGCGATTCTCAAAAATCAAGTTAAAATCTACAGTGTACATTGCAACCTCGAGGCTTATGGAAAAAAAACGGAAGTAAGGGAAGTTTTTACTTCCAAGCAAGCAGTCTTAGTACTGATTAAGCTCTAAGAATGCTCCAGAAAAGCTGTTCTCTTTTAAAAAGTGGATATTAAATCAATTAAAGATTTCATCAATGTGATGATCACATTTTATAAAATTTTATTTAATGCGCGAGTAAAAAAAGTGCGAGAAAAAAAATATTCAAACTGAGAGTTTTGTGTTAAATAATTTTTTAAAACTTTGTCATGTTCAATCAATACATTCTCACAGTCACACGTTTCTCTAAAATATTTTAAAAAATATTTAAAAAAAAAACCAAAATAACACAAAACAATAAAAAAACATAAAAACACCAACACCACCGGCATTATACCATCCTTTAAGAATGCCGCGTACAAAGCCCACACGCAAGACCGATGTCATCGGTAACTTGGATCTGAATCCTGAAGATGCTGTGCCCTACTTCCGGGAATCACTCCAACAGGAGAAATTCTTCGTGTAAGTGTGTTTACCGTTCAACTGATTCATCATTACAAGTACTTTGTCAACGTAATCGCGCAGTAAGCCTCCGAACTGGGATTCGCCTGGAGACTCTATTGAGATGTTGTTCCTTTCCAATCAGCGAGAGTACGAGCAAATGACAATTTTAAAGAAGGAGCTCTTTGAGACCGCAAAGAATCAGGCCGAGATCAACTGCACTCGTATTCAGAAAATGTACAAGACCCAGGATCGGTTGCGGAAACGGTTCATTGAGGTGAACAGCTTTATCAAGGACTGCGCGGACAAGAGGCGTAGTGCTGAGAAGGCAATTCAGCATGAGAGTGAACTTCACGAAGAACTAACGGGTGGCATCGATGAATGCAATAGCTCCATTAAAGAACTGGATGCATTTCGCAACGACCTAAAGCGAACGGTTAAGGAATTCGAGCCCTACGAGCGCGTCTTGGATGATGTTGTGAAGGTATCGGACATATTTGAGTCTCCAAAAGATTGCATGGATCGCTGCGATGCACTCAGTAAGTTCGAATTACACGTCATATACAATAATCCTTAGTCTGTGCCTTGGATAGTGCTCGCCCAAGTGGAAATCAACAAACTGGAAATGCAGAAGATACAAGAAATTGAGGAAATGCGAAAAACTATGCTCAAAGTAACCAACGAAGCAGCCTTAGCTGTTCTGGGGCTGAAGAATGATTTGGCCAAATTGGAGCGTTCATATAATCAGTCGCGTACTATGTGCCTGAAAATGGAGAAGCTTTTGACCACCACCAAGGAAACAATCACTACGAACGACCTGGACAAGGAACGAGCGTTGGACGGTGTTCAAATTATGTATCGCCTGCTGTGCAAGAGACGCGGTTAGTCAGCAATGTTTTTCATCGATAGACTACTGTCTATAATTGTAATAACTCTTGCAGATATGGAACCTGAATTTGGCCGCCGCGATCTAGAAAAGTCACTAGACTTTATCAAGCGAGAGGTGGAACTTTTAGTCAGGGTTCTGCGTAAGGCTCAGGCGAAACAAAGTTCCCACAAACCTGGAAAGCATGCAACGCATGAGGATCCGCCATGTTAGCGCCGGGTATTGCGGTATTAATACACTTACTAAACACATTAAAACAAGTGAATAAAAAATAAAAATAATACTTCGGACAGTGTTTGGCGTTATTCCCTAGTCCAGTCCCTAGTCGTAGAACCGTCCGGACTACGTCTACGTTTTTGAAAAGAGCTAAAACAAATCGTGAATCATATTCTTAAGAAAAAAGAAAGAGTTGTTATATTAATGTATTATCTACAGCATGTTTTCAAATACTTCAAATTTTGTTAACACTCAGCGCCGTCGATTGCTGTCGTCCCAGGCATTTTATCAGGCACCTTGGTTGCCTTCCGTTCCTCAAACTGTTTCAAAATGGCTTTCAAAAGCTCGACCTCCTCCTTAATGAAGTCCATGCAGTTTTCCACATCAGAGCGCATATATGTCGGTTCCATATCTGAAAATATTGAAATTGGTTGTAGATACATATAGCAAGGAAAGGAAATGGAAAACATACCGCGTCTACGACAGAGCAAACGATACAAAACATTAACGGCGTCTAAGGTGCGCTCTTTGGCCAAATAATTTGTGGATATGGAGTCCTTCACACCCGCCAAGATCTTCTCCCACTTGAGGCAAAGACTGCGCGATTGATTGTAGGAACGTTCTAATCTGGCCAAATCGTTCTTCAGACCCAGCACAGTCAGTGCTGCCTCATTGGTTATTTTGACCATTTGTTTACGCATCTCCTCGATTTCCTGGGTCTTTTGCTGCTCCAAGTTGTTGATTTCCACTTGAGCAAGCACTGTCGGGGACATTAGTCCGTTAATTTTTATGTATCCGTGAGCCGCAAATACTTACTGAGCGCATCACACCGATCCATACAGTCCTTGGGTGAGACAAATATGTCGGAGACTTTCACAACCTCATCCAGTACCTTCTCATAGGGCTTGAACTCCTCGACTGTGGCCTTGAGGGCACCACGGAATACCTTCAGCTCGGCGATAGACTCCTTATATTTCTCGCTTGACTTGATGAGCTCCTCGTGCAACAACGTCTCCTCGCTAATGGCCTTCTCGGCAATGCGTTTCTTGTCCGCACAGTCCTTGATGAAGCCATTGACCTCGATGAAACGCTTACGCAATCGGTCCTGTGTCTTATACATCTTGCGTACACGATCGGCATTAATTTCCGACTGACGCTTCGCATTGGCCAGCATTTCCTGCTGCAGCTTGAGCATTGTTTCATGTTCCCGGGCATTGGCTATGAAGAGGAGCTCGATGGAATCACCAGCCGAGTCCTGATGGGGTGGTTTTCTAAGGACAAGGATAGTGCTGCTATAATAAAAACCTTAAAACACTCCTTGTAGCAGACTTACATGAACAATTCCTCTTGCTGCTTCGACTCAATATAATCGCCCACAGCGGTTTCAGGCCGAAGGTCCAAGCTTCCAATGACATCGAGTTTCTTTGTGGGATTGCGACGCGGCATGTTAAATCTTTCCGAAATCCGTTTTTTATTGTTAGAAATAAAAACACAAACCGCAACAATGGAATGAAATAATAAAGAATCTCACTTGTAGTATAACTGCGAAATAAACAGAAAAATATAACTAATACAATTAAATGAACATAACAACTTCAACATGACAACAAGGGAAACTTTGTTTTTTCGATTATTGTTACCAAGCAACTAACATTGTTTAGGTTCTCATTAGAACGAACTAAAAGAAGCTTTCAAATGGCCAGGAATGCAATCAAACAAATGCGAAATTCAAAGAAAATGTGATAACATTTATAGCTATGGAAGTTTATATGCGATAAACATATTTTAATTTAATTAATTGGAGATTTTTGTCATAAACCCAACCTCAACAGCATGGTTGAATTCTGTCAAATAGTTGTAAAAAGCACTCTACATAGTCAGTCTAGACTAATACATTCTCACAAACACACAACTAATACATACCCACAACCATACAATACTCGCTATCAAGCGAATAATACTGTAGGACAACTATCTACACTACACAGGTTAACATAATCTAGTCAGAATGCCACGTAAGAAGCCCACACGCTCTTCCGATGTTATCGGTAACATGGATCTCAAGCCTGAAGAGGCTGTGGCTGACTACTTCCTTTCACGCCAGCAGGACCGCTTCTTTGTGTAAGTTTCCCAGCCCTCTCCTGACATCCTCACGCTGCCAACTGTATCGCACAGGAAACCACCGAACTGGGACTCGCCTGGGGATTCTATTGAGATGTTGTTCATTTCCAATCAGCGAGAGTACGAGCAAATGTGTGTTCTGAAGAGCGAGGTGTTCAAAAATGCAAAACGCCAGGCCGAGATCAACTGCACTCGCATTCAGAAAATGTACAAGACCCAGGATCGGTTGCGGAAACGGTTCATTGAGGTGAACAGCTTTATCAAGGACTGCGCGGACAAGAGGCGTAGTGCTGAGAAGGCTATTCAGCATGAGAGTGAACTTCACGAAGAACTAACGGGTGGCATCGATGAATGCAATAGCTCCATTAAAGAACTGGATGCATTTCGCAACGACCTAAAGCGAACGGTTAAGGAATTCGAGCCCTACGAGCGCGTCTTGGATGATGTTGTGAAGGTATCGGACATATTTGAGTCTCCAAAAGATTGCATGGATCGGTGCGATGCACTCAGTAAGTTAAAACCATCAAGTGATCTAAAATAATCCTTAGTCTGTGCCTTGGATAGTGCTCGCCCAAGTGGAAATCAACAAACTGGAAATGCAGAAGATACAAGAAATTGAGGAAATGCGCAAAACTATGCTCAAAGTCACCAACGAAGCAGCCCTAACTGTTTTGGGTCTTAAGAATGATTTGGCCAAACTGGAGCGTTCCTACAATAATTCGCGTACTATGTGCCTGAAAATGGAAAAGATCTTGGGCACTACCAAGGATACAGTCACTATGAACGACCTGGACAAAGACCGAACCTTGGATTGCGTTCAAATTTTGTACCGTCTTCTGTGCAAACGACGCGGTTCGTCCGTTGTGTGTTTCATATGTTCAGAGAATCTATTAATAATAATAACTGTTACAGATATAGATGCTAGCTTTAGCCGTCGCGATGTGGAAAGTTCGATGGACTTCATAAAGCGAGAGGTTGAACTTCTAGTTAGGGTTCTGCGAAAGATTAAAGCGCAAAAAAGTTCCAATAAACCCGAAAAGCCCACAACACATGAGGGCCCGCCATGCTAAAACCTTGCTGATTATGTTAGCAAGAGTGAAGTTTAAGTTATTTAAAGCAATGCATATCTAGATTAGAACATATTAAAACAAACAAATAAAAGCCACTAACAATATTTTGTACAATATTTCCGATGTACTTTCAATTCAGGTTAAGGCTTTTAATATACTCGTAAAGTGTTTCATTTTATTTACGAATGGTATTATGTTGAGATGTAAGGATTAAAAACCCATATCATGGATCATCGTAATCTATTTATTTCTAAATACCCTTTATTTTATCCAATAATGACTTCCTATTGTCGCTGCCATGTCTGTCCCATCAAGCCTAGATACATTGAAATAGTAAAAGGATATCGAAATTAGGATTCCATGATTAACCCAAGTGTTTCCATTCCCTCCTCGCAGACCCACAGGTTAACTGTGAAATTGTTATGCATTGGGCGGCTTTTCAAAAATTATGAACGGGTTATGATTCCCATCTTGCAGTCCTTCTGGCACTCTGTTTGTGTATTTTTTAACGACATACGAGTATACCAGTTTTCCGTCAAATGAATAGATTTTTCCAAAAGATCGTAAAAGCTTTGCAGTACTGAATACATTCCCACAGCTACACTACAACGTACTACATATAAATATTTCAAAACATCAATTTATTTTTAAAAGTAGAGACAATTTAATACTCTTTGAAAATGCCGCGCAAGAGGCCCACATTCAAGACCGATGTCATCGGCAAAATGGATCTCAAACCGGAACATGCTGTGGGCGATTACATTCAATCGTGCCAGCAGGAACAGTTCTTCGTGTAAGTGATTTTGCATCTAACTGGTTTATCATCACCTGGCCAGCCTTATCGCACAGCAAACCCCCGAATTGGGACTCGCCTGGGGATTCTATTGAGATGTTGTTTATTTCCAATCAGCGAGAGCACGAGCAAATGCGCGTTATGCAGAGAGATATGCACAAAAATGCGAAACGCCAGACCGAGATCAACTGCACGCGTATACAGAGACTTTACAAGATTCAAGATCGGTTGCGGAAGCGATTCATTGAGGTCAACAGCTTTATAAAAGAATGCGCTGACAAGAAACGCAGTGCCGAGAAGATTATTCAGCATGAGAACGATGTGCACTCGGAACTATCGAAGGAAATCGATGATATGAATGCGTCCCTGAAAGAGCTGAAAATATTTCGCAAGGATCTGAAGTCAACAGTTAAGGAATTCGAGCCCTATGAGCGCGTGCTGGATGATGTTGTGCAGGTGTCCGACATATTTGAGTCTCCAAAAGATTGCATGGATCGCTGCGATGCACTCAGTAAGTTCGAATTACACGTCATATACAATAATCCTTAGTCTGTGCGTTGGATAGTGCTCGCCCAAGTTGAAATCAACAAACTGGAAATACAAAAGATACAAGAAATTGAGGAAATGCGCAAAACTATGCTAAAAGTCACCAACGAAGCAGCCCTAACTGTTTTGGGTCTTAAGAATGATTTGGCCAAACTGGAGCGTTCGTATAATCAGTCGCGCACCATTAGTCTGAGGAGGGAAAAGGTGCTGACCACCTGCAAGACTGCAATCACTACGAATAATCTGGACAAGGAGCGAACCTTGGACGGCATACAAATTTTGTATCATATGTTGTGCAAGCGACGCGGTATGTTCATAATATGTTTGGCCTTTTGAGCACTCGATGATAAGAATATCATTTACAGATATAAATCCTAGCTTTAGCCGTCGCGATGTAGAAAAGTGCTTGAACTTTATAAAACGTGAAGTTGAAATTTTTCACGCAGTTCTGCGAGAGTCTGACAAACCAGGAAAGCGATCTTTAAAAGGTCCACCTTGTTAAAGTCTCTGATTATTGTTCTGTCAATGGACTTTACATAATTCTGTTTTGCAATTTTTATACTTAAACAGATTTAATATATAATTAGGATCTTATCAACATATTTTCCATTTTATTATGGCATATCGTCAATGATTTTGAATAGATGTGTGTGGCGTCCGAAAACTGTGGAACAGTCGAAGGCAAATACATCTGAGCTGAAGATTCCAAGTTAAATAGATAGTAGTAGTAGTAGTACTTTAACATTTTGCATTGTACTTGAAGATATATGTTCATACATTGGTCTAGTCGGGCCCCGCTTGAATACTTACATAATTTCGACAATCTCTAAGTGTGATGAGCTATCCTCGTAGAACTATATTTTCAATACAATGTAGCTTGGAAACTGATAGCGGACCAATCCCTTGTAAAAGGCTGACGCGAGAATTTACATGACATATTCAAAACTTAAGTTGATCACAAACTAATAGTAGAACCTCAGCATGCACGATCATGTACTTCTGACCTACATGGCACACATTCAATATTACTAAGGTAGAGGGGATTGGCATCCCAAAATCAATTTCAATTCAAAATAAACTCAAATCCGATGTTGTATGAATAAATACTCTAACTTATAAGCAGAGCCTAGTCTTAAAGTTTTCTAGCCCAAGCATTACTTATTCGTTCATTTCAATACATATACAATACAGTAAGCACTCGTAGTTAAATATACCTGCAGAAAGAATCCAGCAATCTTACAGCTCTATGCCTTACCCCCGCTATGTATCTCACAGACATAAACCAGTATCTTTTACCTCCTATAAGGCATATATCGTTTGTCCTTGTCATTATTATTTAATTTGAATATCCCGAATAAGGATAAGGAAACGCGCACTCACATGTTCCTTCCATCCATATACGCGTGTCATACAAAAGCAAACAAATTTTTGCTTAAACCCAAGCAAATCAAATCAAATTCAATATAAAACGAAAGAGGAGGAAGGAAAGAAAAACAGACAGAAGCTCGAGAAACTTCTCAAGTGGCTCTCATCGCAGCAACTTAACTTCAAATCAAGTGGCAGGCAGAGGCGGAGAGCCCAGTAAAATAAATTTCATTTGCCATCAGCTCTGTAAATCTAATCTTTCCATTCAATTGCCAATTGGATTGTATGGCCAAAGATAATCTAACTTAAGCACAGATAATTCTTTTATACGAACATTTTGATCTCTATTCGCAGAACTAGCAACTAATTTTATAGAGCGAGCTGCTTGGCGACAGAGGCGGCGACACGCCCCCTTCTACACATCACATCACATCACATGCCAGGAAACTGCCGGTCCTCCTTCCTTCGCCTACTCGTAGGTAGGAGGCCGATGGTTGGGCGTTCCTGCTCTTTATTCAATTTGCTTTATTTGATTTGCGATTTTTGCTGATATCAGCTTGAAAAAATGCCCCTGTGGAGGGAATGGGGGGGACAGGACTTCTGCCCAAAAATCAAATCAAATATTCTACACGAAAATAAAATACAAAGAAATTTATTTTATTTTTGCTGCTGGTGAAAATTCGAGTAGTTGCCAAAGTCAATGGCAGTCGATGTTGTTGTTGCTCTTGTTGTTGTTACTGTTGTTGGTTTATTTAAATGTCGTCCATGTGGCCGCCCACAAGTTGCGCCAACGGCGTTTTGTTTGTCGTGTCGTGGTCGTGGCGAACATCTAGAGGGGCAGCAATTACATTAAGTTGATGGTCGCTGCTACCTTTTTCCCCGCTCTACTATATGTATTTTCTTATTTGCAGTCGTTCTAGCTTTTAGGCAAATATCGCAATGCAAACACTTAAGATTTGCAGCTTGTCATTTAAATAATTGAAAATGGATCAATTGTTGAAATATTGAACGAAAATTGAAGTGCTTCTCCACGGCTCCCCTTGTAGGTAAGCGTAGAAATATAAGAAAAATGACGATGCCAACCAACAGTAAGTCATTATGCAACATCAACTTGAAGTGGATTATTATGCAAAAGCTTCTCATTAGCTGTCCTCTGTGCGTGTGAATTATGCGCTCTCTTTTTCCTATTCACCAGAATGACAATAAAGCCTAATGGCATTGTCAGTTAATCCTTTAATTGCATTACATTTTACAGTCTGCGAATTAAATAATAAGCTGGCTGGCTGGATGGCAGACCCGCCATTGGGGAAGAAGCGTTGTACGTGTTAAGATTCTAGCTGAATTTTTTAGCCTTTCAATGGCACAAGTAAAAAGAAAGTACTTTAAGTACCAGCGTGGGTTGATTTAAATATATGGTTAGACTTTTTCTTCGAAGCGATAAAATGTAAGACAATAGATAAGATAATAAATAGCATGATACTTAAGCTGATTAATAAGGTAACTGGGATGATTGACAAAACCTACAAACCAGTAAATTAGTAGGTCATTCATTCTTAACATCTTCTCATTTGAGCGCCGGTTCTGCTTTGCTGGAATCATACTAGAGAGTCTTGGGTGAAAGCTATTGAGTCCGGAAAGCTAGTAGACTCAAAAAGCACAAATTTGTAGGCTTCCAGAGTCCCCGGATGCCGATGGTTATCAGTCTCTGTTTTGTTTGATATTAAGGTATGCGCTTTAATATTATTTCGATGACTAAAACTAAAGGTGTTATAGAAATTTTAAAAGTATGCCAATGACACTTAATTATTTATTCCTAATGTACTCCACAAAAGATGTACTTCACCGACTATTATTTATCTTCCAGTTTACATATTTTTAAAAGGACAGTTTTTGAAAAATATAATAAATACAATTACAGAATACTTTTCATTGAGTGATTAAAGGCAACTATTTTTAGATTAGAAGTAATTTGTAAAGAAATTGCTTTAAAAAGTGTTAATCTGGGAATGGAAAGAAAGGTAGAGTCTATTTAGAAAATTGAATGTCTCATATCTTAGAATCTAGTCTTATAACCACATTAAAGAATATATTGAACTATCTCCTGCGATGCCAGTTTCTCAATTCTTCTTCTACAGACCCAAATAAATAATATTATGGAATTTTCTAGCGCGACTTATAATAATGTTATGGATGTTTGAAGCCTAACTAATAATCATCTAATCTAAAATACATTGCATTTAAAATTAGAAATATTCAAAATGTTGTGTATAAAGTTTTTCATCCTTTATCTTATACTCCTGACTTAAGTTTATCGAACATTTGACCTTGTGGGTACAGTTTGGACCCCCTCCTTCTCCTTCATTAGGCAAGTCTGGGACCAAGTTTGAAGTTCAAAATTACATTTTCTACAGCTTTTGAAGAAACATTCTAATGCCCATCTGTGAATGTAGTGTGAGTTAAGAGGCATGTGATAGAAGTTTCGGGAGCAAGTAAACTTATCTAGCCACACACGCGTGTCTGGTTTCACTGCCTCTTCTCATAGCAGTCGAAACAGTTAATTTAACTTTACAAGTCCTTAATGTGACGGCCAGACAACAAGAGTGGGCAGAAAAAACCGAAGGCGACAAGAGCAAAAAGGGAACGACTCGAAGGACGACTTGCAATTAGAGAAACAATTCATGATGGTTGGGCTGGCAAAAGGCAGAAGGCAGGCAATAAGTGCAAGAGCTTAAGCAGCCAAATGCCTCAGACAATGAAATGTAAACGAAGTGCAATTAAAAGCATCCAACTTAAAGTTCTTGGCAGCGACTTTAAAGTGTAGTTCGTGCATTCTACAGGATGTCAAGTTCAACTCACTGGCGTAATAAATGTCACACGATTGCTGCAACAACAACAAGAATAAGAACAAGAACAACGAGAACAAGCGCTTTAACTTGATTAATATTATAACACATGATTTATGACGACTGTCAATAGGCAGGCAGTCAGCCAGCAAGTCAGTCAGTCAGGCAAGCAGGCAGGCAGGCAGGCTGGAAGCCCATTATGAAAGCCTGTGCCTGTGAAGGCTGAGATTGAAATCGCTTCTTTGTGCAGTGTCGAAGTATCGTCAGTTTCAGAGTCCCTGGACCCGTCGACCAAGTGGTGAGGTTGAGAGGTGGAGAGGGGGAGAGAGGAGCGTCTGTCTGTGTGATAAGATGGCAAATCGGCTTATGCTTCGCACTGCTGCCATACAACAAAACAATCGTCATCATCAATTCAGTCAGCGACATTAATATCCTTAAGGGCTGGCAAAAGCTGTCGTCTGACATTTGTGACACCTGCATTGATTTGTCTTCTCGTGTATTTGGTCTTGCCGTTGTTGTGGGGCGGGTAGCTTTAAATGGCACCTGTCCCCCGCCTAAAACTGTCTGTGACTGACTGCCTTTCATGTCTTACAAATGCCTTTTTTATGCGTTAATTTTTCTTCAGTGGTTTCTCTCTTTCATGTACTTAAAGCTGTTGTTCGTCGGGCTCATGCATATTTGAGTGTCGACACCTCGCAAAGAGACCATTAGAGAGACGACAAGCCAAGGTACATTAGAGCTAAATATTTATACTAATAGCCTAGACGACAGGCAACTGCAATTACGGCCCCAGCACGCACATGCATGTAGACTTTACTTACACATTTTGGCCCACAAAGTTGATAATTTATTCATTTGCTGATGACGTCGGCCGGCAGAAGCATTTATAGAGAACTCAAGTTTCAATTGCCAAAAAGTTAACCACCACATACACGGTTGCAAACCACCCCTAATGACTTCATTAGAGTCATAGAGAAGTCACCCCCTCTTGGTCTGCAACTACTACTGCCAACAATTGACGCAACCAGAGTCCTTGGGCGCCTTTAAAACCCCTTGAGTCGCGCCTGACTGCAGAAAAATTGCTTAATTTTTAATTTGAATGCAGGGCGTCAAAAGCAACAGCTTAAATATTTGAGAAATATGTGTAAAACATCTGTGCTATTGTGATTGTGGCTATAGTATTCACACTCTCACTCTCTCTCTCTCTCCCCTCCAAATTTCTCACTTTTCATTTTCGATTGCCGCGGCCCTTTGTTGGGCGCTCAACTATTTAGCGGGGCATTTTTGTAAGCCTATGCAGTTTTTTGTATTGTGTTGCTAAGCCGCGCATTTGTCAAGGGTTAAGGAGGGCGCACAACTGTTGTAAAATTCGAATTGTAAATTTTACACTTATC